AGTTCGTCCTGGTCGCCGCCATCGTGTTCGTGGGCCTAGTCATTCTCGCCGTCCTTCTTGTGGCCATCACGCTCAGGCGGAAGCCGGACTCTGCGGGCCATCTCTCCTCTGGGCCAGACCAGTGAGTATATATACAGCGTACATGCAGTGAGACCCCCACATGCGGACACCTCAACATGGGGACAATTTGACAGCATAGGGACATTTATTTTTCAATAAATAATCATGAAAAAGGCCCAACATATGGACACTGACTCAGCATGAGGACATTACATGATAAAATTACCAATAAATTTTAAGAAAATTGACTTTTATTAGGCTTAATTGCTAGAAACAGATATTTCTAACCCTAAGATCTATGCAAGAAAAATTCTTTGGTACTTTTCCCATCACATCCCCATCCATTCAGCTAATTAAAAAAAATTACCTATAGCTCAGAGGGACTTCCTTCTCTCCTTGTGAATTGGATGTTATTTTTACAGATGCCAACATTTCAATGAACTGTACAGCAGTATCCTATTCAATGCTCCAAATGTTCTTATTGGTTGAAAATATATTCACTGAATTAAATTCAAGTGGCAAACATCGTATTTTTTTCATGGAATTATGAAAAATATTTCTTCCATAAACCACCAATTAAAAATTATGTAATGTAAGTCTAAGGGAAAACAAGAATCAACTTAGAGATAATTCAACTTAGGGACACTCTTGATGTACCAATTATGTCCACATCTGGGGGTCTCACTGTATAAATATATATACAGTACCAGGAATGGTCCATGAGTTTTGAAACTTTTTGATCCAATGGAGTTTCAACACTTCGAATTTTTAAATTTTATTTTATTTCACTTTTCAACTCGCATGGCCTTGACATTTGGCAACACTTCATTAGTGTTCAGCAACATAACAACTGATGATCTGAATGTTTTTATCACATGAAAAAAAATTTCATTAATTTTGGTGGAGAGTGTGTTCAGTAGCATTCCAGTGTTGCCAAATGATTGGGGCTTTGAGATTAATTTTTTTTGAATTGTTGAAACTCTGTTGGATCTAATTTAGTAAGTCTCAAAGCTTATGAACCAACCCGCGCATACGTGACATTTTTTTGTTCTCAGTGAAACAAAAAATTTTGTCTTTTAATTCTGTTCATATTTTCAGTTGGGCCCGGAAAGGTGGGATCCGAGAGATGAGCGATCCCAGGATCAGTTCCACAGGGGAGCACCATTTGCTGCCGCCGGTGCCCGGGGCTGAGCGGCGTCCCATCATCCCGGGTTCACCACCGGGTGGGGCGAAACCCAGTGTCCAGGGCCATCCGCCGGGACGCCCAATCCAGCGCCCGAGGCGCCGCCGCCGCCGACGAAGCCGCTTGTCGACATGAATTACCCCGTATTGGGGGGAGGTCTGAATGACTGCTGCTGCTGGTGATGGGAGGGATAAGAAATTAAGGAATAAGTAGGGAAGAAAAATGAGTGGATGGACACACTTCTGTGGTTGAGTCTATTTTCCAAATTTTAAGGAATTCCCTGTGACCCTAACATGTACTCGCTATATAATGAAAATGATTGAATTGGAAACTTTAATTGGGTAATGGTGATGAAATGCAGATAGAATGAAATTTCAATTTTTTCCCCATGAATTAGACCAATTTCAAAGGATTTAGCAGAAATATCATGAGCAGAACACAGTTTAAAATAAATAAAAATGATACAAGTTTGCATCCTTGATTTTTGAATGGTGTACCTTTAATGTCCCTTTTAAAAATTTCTAAATCTATTAATTTGGGTCAGCTCAAGGTAATAGTTATGTTCATTATATAGGACTGTACATAAATGATACAAGTTTGCATCCTTGATTTTTGAATGGTGTACCTTTAATGTCCCTTTTAAAAATTTCTAAATCTATTAATTTGGGTCAGCTCAAGGTAATAGTTATGTTCATTATATAGGACTGTACATATACTGTATTTTTGATTCAAACGCATTACTTCTGAAAATAAAAACAAAAAGTATTTCAGATATTCAATTCTTGTCTAACTTGTCACCGCTGGTCACATCAAAACTCGTTTCCAGTCTGTCAATAAATTAGACATTAAAATTCAGTTATTGCTTGAAAACTGATGATATCTTTTTGAATTAAATCGCTCGAAATAATGGAGAAAAACTTTATATTCGTGATCTTATCTTCCCGGTCAGCCTCGGTAGATTTTCTGGCAACCCCGGGTTTAATCATGATATCAAGCGACATCTACACTTCATAACCAAAAATCAACCAGCAAGTTTATATAACTTACGTTCAGATGTACAACTACTATCAACGAAACACGGTCACGGTTCAAATATAATGTTTTCATACTTTTCAACAATCTTCTTAGTATCCTCAAAAATTCAACGAAGAATTATTTTCATGCTTATCCTTTTCTAAGATGAACAGAAAACATTCCAAAACATTTTGGCGAGAAGAACACTTCCTAGAAATGAAAATTGGCTCAAACTTTAAGGTTTTGCTTCATATAATATAGAGACTATCGTCCAAATATAATGTAGAACCTTTCCGAATATTCTTTAAGCTTCTTCAACTTCAATTTTCTCAAAACTGAACATCTGCTTCTTTTTGGGACCCAATTTCAAGCGCAAAAAAAGACGAAAATGGAGGCGAAAAAAAAATGAATGAAGGCATTGCTCAAAATTGCAAGAAGAAAAGAAACTGACGTTCGAGACTAAGCATTCTGACGTCACATCTCTGAAAAGTTACCTTCTTTCTTACATTGGGAAAAGAGAAAGTCATCCCCAAAGAAAAAAGAAAGAGAGAGAGAGAGAATAAGGAAAGAAAAAATCGAAACCTTTTTATATATAGAAAATAGAAAACATATTTTCTTTTCTTCATTTCGCTTTTTTCATGCGACAAAAAAAAAGGCGAATGGAAATGCGTGCGTCTGAAAATTTCAAAGAAATTTGAATGTTGAGTGAATATTTGATGGAGAAAAAAATAAGAAAGTCGGATGTTGTGTCCGACGAAAACTCGTCTTTGAGGAGATCACTGTGAGATTGAAGTTGAATTTATTTGAAAACATTTTGTCAAAATCTTTCGTTTTATCCTCATTTTTTCCGTTTAATTTAAATTTATTTCGGAGCAAGTTATTGCGAGCGTCTTTTATATACGAACCGCGTTATTTTCCACGTTTCAGTTCGCTTCCTTCAATTGATTCAGTCATCAATCGAATTGATTGATTGTGCCCATTTTTGAAGGGAAAAAGAATTTTATAAACGCTGACAAATGGGATCGAAGCTAAAAATCCTTTTGTCATCTTCTCGCGATGAGGAAGGAAATTCGTGTGTGTTGGATTCGGAAGACGTGAAGCCAATAAACACACAGCTCTTTTTTTTTGTTCTGTGCAACTGGGTTATTTTATTACTAATATCAATTCAATCACCATCGTATAATCATCATTACCTTTTGGAACTCCCACCGAAATTAACAAACTTTTCGGGGAGGAAAACCCAACAAACCGAAACGAAGCAAAACAAAACAAAAAAACTGCGATAACAAGTCAACAATTAACGCTGTAACAACGAAGGCGGAAAATGAAAACCAAATACAAATTGCATTCGGCATATAAAGTTCAACAATTTTGGCAAATTCCACATTTTCTTGAGAAATGGGCTCATTTTAGAGGAATGAAACGGAAGACATTTTAAGCACGAATCCGCTTTGGAAAGTAATACTGATCCCATTTTTTTTTTTCGTTTGGCTTTTTCAATGTGGAAATGTATGTATGAGAAAAAGCACAATATGAACAATGTTGCCAAACCCAAAAAAATGTCTTTTGACACATCGACAGATAATTCATGAATTCGAAGAATTTCTGAAAGCGCACTTTGAAAAAAAAGGGCAGGAATCAGGGTTTCTTTTCGTTTCGTCAGCAGGTTCAATGAAGCTCCTCCTTTTCTTTCTTTTTGTTGTTGTTGTTTGTTGTTTTAAATTCCTAATCATGAATGAAAAGTTGCTTCTTATTCCCTTTTTTTCGAGATGATCTGATGTCCGTGAAGTTCAGGCGAAAGTCGTTGACACCTTTCAGATGAGCAGGATTCTTCTGTTTTTGGAACCAGGTCCATCCAGGCCTTTTTATGAAGAAAGTAAAGGTCTTCAGCGACCTCTGAAGAGACTGAAACGAAACAAAAGGATTGATTTTGGAATCAGATATAATTGAGCAAGAGAATTTCATAACAGTTTCTGCTGTTCTGCAGCCATTTTATACAGGACATGAGGTCCTATAACTTTCAATTTTTCAGAAATAACAGTAGACAAGATGGTTTCATTTTTCTTTTTACATTCTGAGGTCATTTTGATGATAAATAAAATAATTTTACTCAAGGGAATAAGTTTATATATAAAAAAATGATTTTGGTTATTGCAGAAGTTTCTGCTGAGATGGCATTTCAATAAATATAGAAAGATCCTAAAATTTCTAAATATTAATCAATGCATACATTTATTCTTGAATTTCAAATCAAGCTTGATTCCAGCAAATAGTTTTGCGTAAAAAATAGTTCATCCCAATTGTTATCCAGGAAACATTTACTTTTGCTTCAAGGCCCTCTCTTTAAACTACATTTTGCCTCAAAGAAATGTACAAGGTTTTTCCCTGCAGCTGTTTCTTTGTTTTGAATTCCCTCTTCTCACATCACCCCACGTTAACAGCATAACAAGTTTTCTTTCTTTAAATAATATATTAAGTCCCCCCTGAGTGCCCTGACTGCCAACAGTGATGGAGGCTTTTGAGTGCAGCCACACCTCTGAAATGCAAATTTCAGACTAGTTATCTTGAGATGTGCATTGTGTACATATTACATTTCATTGTGATGCATATATTACATTAAAATATCTTTCCATGAGGTCCAAATACTCATGAATAGAGAAGGTACAGTTAGACCCCCACATGCAAACACCTTGACCTGCGGACAATTCAATATAGGGACACTTATTTTATCATAAAAATAAATTTAAAAAGGCCCAACATGAGGACACTGACTCAACGTAGGGACAATTTATTATAAAATTGCAAATAGATATCAGGCCAAATTACAAGAAACAGATATTTCCATCCCTAAACTTGCTGTAAGAAAAGTTCTTGGGCATTTCTCTCGCCAATTTACCATCCATTTAGCTAATTGAAAAAAATTACCTCCAGCAGAGAAGGACTTCCTTTTTTCTTTTTTACTTGAATATTATTTTCACAGAGAATGCCAACATTTCTACATACTGTACAGTGGTATCAGTATTCAATTCCCCAAATGCCCATATTGTGTTGAAATATATGGATTGGAATCAGTTTAAATTGGGAGACAATTTTTATTTTCATGGAATCATGGTGAGTATTTTTGTACATAAAACACCAATTAAAATTTTATAATGTAAGTCTAAGGGAAAATGAGACTTGACTTAGGCAGCACATTTCAACTTAGGGACACTCTTTATGCACCAATTACGTCCACATCTTGGGGTCTCACTGTATATGGGAAATACCTCCAGAATCCTATATACCTGAGAAGGTATAGATAGTTTACAAAGGAACAGTATCATAGTGTATTCTGACAATTTATTTTATTAAATTATCTTTCTAAAATGACAAGCCACACAGGAGGAATCTCAAGAATTCCTGAAAGTTTCCCGTTTTGATTCCGATGTTTTTTTTTCAATTTCCAATACAGTACAGTATTATAAAGAAATGGAATATACTGAAGGGTTTTTTAAAATTGAAAAACTGTGACGCAATTGGTCATTATAAGACTCTCGGTACACCTCACCTGAACCGGCTGCCAGCAATATTAGGCCTGAGGCGGCCTGGCCGCGGTACGAGCCCAAAAAAGGAGCCCCGCTGATTGGCGCCGCCGCCGCCGCCACCACCACCGCCGCCGCCGATTCTCTGATCGCCACCTTCCTCTTGTTCATTAAAGACTCGTTCGTCGCCCGTTTCTCCTCCGGTATCACGTTCTTCCTCGGGAAACGACGGGAAACTGTTCCGTCCTCCTTCGCCACCACCGCCACCACCACCGCCGCCGCCGCCGCCGCCTTCTCCGCCGCCGTCGAGTTGATCAACGCTGTCTCCGCCTTGATCGCGATCGTCTTCGTAGTCAAAGTTGAATTCGTCCTGGTTGCCTTGGCCTGGACCACCACCACCACCACCGCCGCCGCCACCACCGCCGCCGCCGCGATCGCTGTCGAGGTCTAGGTCTAGTTGCCCGATATCACCGCCGCCTCCACCGCCTCCACCACCGCCGCCGGCGCCGCCGCGGAGGTTCGTGTAGTCGCCGTAGTCGTCGTACTCGTTGGTACTCTCTCTGTCTGGCTGCTCACCTGTTTTTTTTTAATGTTGTTGAAGGATTTGAAAATACAAATTAAAAGTTTGATCCCCTGAGAGTCAGTCTCACAAAGATTGTCCTAGTTCCACGCGGCCTTGACCCTTTTTTGCAGCTAAATCATACTTTTGTCTTGAAAATTGTGTTTGCTGTCAAGATGATGTTGGAAATTGAAATAGGGAACACCGTTAAAGAAGATTATATATTGGCGCTGTTGAAAATGGTAGAACTTTGGGAAAGTCTGGGATACGGTGGGACCAAGTGCTGCAACCTTATTGAGTTCCCATGGGATTCCGAATTCTTGCCGGGGAAATCCTTCTAAAGGGATAAGACCATTCAGGGACAAAATATTGCAGAATGAAATGAGTTTAAATGTCGAATAGACTCTGTATTGGATCATCAGTTGAGTTTGGTTTGTCTTGCGCGAAAGATCTGCTTGCAAAATCTCCTGTTGCAGAAAAACCCCTCAAGATCTCAAAAATATATCAATCTTACACTAAGGTGTCAAGCCTGGCTGATCGTTGCTCCAAATTTATATAAAAACATCAAAAAGTTCAAAGTCAAAATCTTCAAACCATTTTCCAATTCTATTTCTAACAGATGGGTTGACAGAAAAATCAGTGTGTGCAGGCAGGGGGAAGTTGGGGAAAATTTTGGCATTATTATCATTTGTTTCCTCAGATGGGAAAAATTGAATGTTCAAGGCTTGTAGTTTTTTACCCACTTGGCTTATGTTGTTCCCTCATAGAAAGAAAAAAGATATTATTTTTACAAATAATAGACTTTCTATAATTGAATTCTGAGAACAAAAATATTAATGTCCCTTTATTGTTAACCTCACATCCTTTATCCTTATGCAGTTTTCAATTGAAGTATTCATTTTTTTTCTGCAAGTAAAAAACAAATAAATAGTGTAAGCATATATGATTCTTTCTTTTCATCAATTTGTTGAGATGCAATCCTAAAAAAGGTTTCCCTGTCTGTACAGGATATTCTCAGAGACCCTCTAGCAGTCATAACAGCAAATAAAACAGCGGAGTTAAACGAAAGGATGATGAATAAAATTTGAACTACGTTTTCTTTCCTGTTATAAAAAAAAGAAAGAATTGAAACTTGCCAAATTCCCGGTAAGGGAAATATTCTGCGGGTTCCCTGTCAAGTTCAGCTCCGCTGTTTTGCCGGTCTTGAATGTAATCAGTGTTGCCGGGTTTCCGACGCCCCAGAGCGCCCCACATGTCCTCAAACCCTCCGTCTGCTGAATCACAAAAAATTCACGAGAAAGATTTTTTAAAGAACGAGCAAAAATAAAGCGAAATGTAAAATTCATTGAATTTTTTCTTCACAAACTGGTCGAACCTTTTCTCCGGCTGCTGCTGCTGGAATGCAATCGTTTTCGCTTCCGATCAGCTTCTGGCTCCGCTGTGAAAAATGTTAAAAAAAATTGGAAAAAAAATTCTTAAAAGCAAAGAAAATTCCGTCGATTTCACTGAATAAATGTCTGCATTCAACCGGTCCTTAACGACATAATTTCCTCCTCATTATTTGAACATGCTCGTGAATGAATTCATTTCAAGTTTTTTGAACTTGCAATAATTGGCAAGAGAGAGAAAATTATTTCCCACTTCCAAAAATAAAAAATGAAGTAATCAGCTTCATCATCATCAGGTAATTCATTGCGCAATAATAATTAACTGACTTCAGTTTGACAAAAATTTGCAGACAACTATTCGCCTGACGGGTTCAATATTCATTCAATACTTCAAAAACGTCATGTTTCTAATAAATTGGTGGAAATTCAAGAAAAATTCCTTTCCATTCCTCAAAATCTGTTTTTTAAATCAAAGATTTCTCTGGTTAATTAAAATACATTTTTTTACTACAGTACAGTACTGTATTTTATTTAATAATATTTGATGAAAATGGGTGTTCAAATATATCTCTTTTGCGGCTGAATTTCATCCTCGAAAAAAAAAACAATAATTTTCATTCAACTTTATTATTCAAAAGTTGATTCGATGGACTCCGATGTTAATGATTTTGGGTTCAACATTTAAAATCAATTCTGTGCTGTCGAAATTTTTTTTTTTAAACCTAGCTGTTCTCCATATTTCATGCTGAAATATTATTCCGTTTTTTCAGCATTTACGACGAAAAAATATGGGGGGGAGGGGTAATCAAATCCGAAGTTTACAAATTGATCGAGTTCATTTCGAGAATAGTTTACCAGCTGGGAAGTCGGAGAAATCGTCGTCGTCATCATCACTCCCGCCGGCGTCCGCCTGGGTCACTCCGCCAGCCAGCTTGAACTCCTCCTGCAACTGCTTGTCAGAGACTGGAGCGTCATCTGCACTCCCGCTTTGAAACTCGCTTCGACCTACGCCGTCTATCTCCGGGCTACTCCGCTCCAAGCGACCTAACTGGCCCTGGTACGATGATACAGTCGCCCCCTCCGCTTCCGTCGGCTGGGTTGCATGGGCCCGCATGCGCTGCTGGTGGTGGCCCCTCATCATCAACGACGATATCCCAGTATTGGGTCTACCTGCTGTCATGGCTGCCAACAGCGCTATGGCCAGGGCCAGCAATGCGCGTTTACAGACAACCATAACTCAACACGGGTGAAAAAGAACCTGCTTGTGGGAGGAAAAAAAATACGTTAAATTCCATTGGAGTGAATTTTTTCAAAAAATGTTGGGCACAAGAATATTTTCATGCAAACAGTACACAAAAACTTGAAAAGAAATTACGCGCGTCGCATATGCATCGCGTTTCATCAAATATAATCAAATATGCTGGCAAATTTTTTTGGCAGCAATAGGATCGTAGCCTTGAAATACGAAAATTAATCCGGAATGTTGTGTTTTTTAAAGTCTCATACAATTTGTGTTCTGAAACTTGTCTTCAACTGAAAATATTTTTTGAGTCAATGATGATTACATCGGTTGCATCAGCGTTGTACATTAATATACAGTTTGTAGAATTTTCTAAAAAAAAATTCATTTAAGGTCAAAAATCAAAATTTTAAGATTTGGTTGAAATGAAGGGCAAGAATCATGAAAGTTCTGTCACAAATGTACAGTATTCCTAAAATCTACCAAAGAATGCTACTAAAATTACTCATGAAATCGGATTGAATTATAATATTTATAATTGCTGTAATTCGAGCGTAAAATACTCATTTTCTTTGGAAGAAACTTTTTTGTTTGAAAACAACTTCAAAATATTCCTGGAAATATCCATTTGAAGTCTCAACTGCGAAACATGTACATATATATTTAAATTAATTTTTTTAATGCAACCAAAAATCTGTGAAAATTCGATGGATTCAGTGAAATGGTCCTTGATTTCGAATTCTCCGAAATTGCATATANGAATCTTGCATTTTATTTTATTTTTCTTTGTGCTCCGGGGTGGTGTTTGAAAGTGGCTACAAATGGTTGGACTCGCGCATTTGCATCAAAATTCTCAATATTGAAGATTGACATTCAACTTGGAATATGTCAAAATGATACTGATCCGTATTCAACAACAACAACAAAAAAAACTCTGGACTAATGATGTTGCAGAAAAACGGGGTAAATTGAGATATCAATTTAGGGGTAAAAATCCAGAGAAGGTATCTATTATTATTATCTATTATTAGGTATTTATTATTATATGTTGTGTCTGAAATTTCTCAATTCTAATCCCATGAGAGGAATGTGAAAAGATCCCCCACAGCAGCCATGGTATAGGAAAATTTTTCTCCCAAAAAAAGGAAAAAAAAAATTGTGATCTTTCTGGACTTCAGCTCTTCTGATCACTTCTGCTTTTTGTATGCCTTGTAGCACAATGTCATGAAAATAAATCTCAGGACTGCTGCCCAAGGGTTATAAAAAAGAACTGTCAAATTCAAAAAATGTTCAATATAAAAAACAGTAACATATATGAAGGTGTTCTCCATTGGGGATTTTCAAGCACATTGGATCCCTGAAAAAGAAAAATGAATCTGCAGTGGGGTCCTATTCTATGCATGCCACAAAACACAAATGATTTTAATTGTGGATACTTTGAACTTGAAAAACCTGCACCAAGATTTGGACACTGTCTGAAGATATGAACACCATGCAAAAAGGTCCCCAGAGGATTTAAAATATTTCCAAATTTTTCAATCTTTTGAAGAAATCAAAGCTAGTGATGTGAACATGAAGTCAAAAAGCATCTCCTTATGAATTTAAGTTAATTTTTTTCCAAAACAGGTCAATTTTGTTATTCTTTAATTAAGGTTTTTCCCTAAACCATTATAGTAGAGTTTTGAATCCCAGTGCTTTTTTTGCTTATTTTGGACTCATTTTCACACTATACAAGCAAATTCTGAGTGTTTTTCTCATGTGCCATTAATTTGTGTGCTTCAAGGTTGAGAGAAAACCTTTTCAGTAAATGTTTTGGACACTAGTTCCATTTCTTGCCAGACATGAGAAGTTATCAACGAATATTCCCATTCAAGTTGATTAAAAATTGTGATACAACATCCCTTTTTCATGTTATGCACACTGTCTGAAAAGTAATTACAGGCAAATCTTTGAAGTGCCACACAAATCCAGCATGAGTTTTGTCATCCAAAGCATTACAGGCAAGTTATCACTTGATGAATTAGATGATTTTTCCAGGTATCAGCAGTCCACCAAGTTGTCAAAATC